TTATCAATTTTGTTATAGATATTTATCAATTTTGTTATCGATATTTATCGATTTTGTTATTGATATTTAACGATTTTGCTATAGATTTTTTTATCGATTTCGTTATCGATATTTTTATCTGTTTTGTTATCGATATTTTATTGAATTTAACTGTCGATTTTGTTATCGATAACAACAGAATCGAAACAGAATAACTAAATGTAATTAGAGCGAACAGAAGTAGAGGTAGGGATATTTTTATCGAATTTTTCATCGATTTTGTTATCGATATTTTTATCTGTTTTGTTATCGATATTTTATTGAATTTAACTATCGATTTTGTTATCGATAGAGTATAAAAATGAAGATAAAGGAAAACAGAATAACTAAATGTAATTAGAGCGAACAGAAGTAGAGGTAGGGATCTAGATAGAAAAAAGACAAAAAATATAACCTTAAGCAAAAGCAGATGTATGTATTAGGTATGTCAATCCCGGGATCCCGGTCTTTTTTAATTAGTCGATTTAAATCCCGGGATTGCTGGAAACAATTTTTTTGTTAGCCAATTAAATTTTTATCACAAATATCCCCTCTCAAGGGCAAAACAAGAATTTTTTGTAACCCTTAATGCTATAATTTCTTTAAGATCGCATTTCCATCAAAAGAAGGAATAATTTTGCTTCGCTCAAAATGGAATAGGTGATGCACTTATATATTTATTTTTTACTTAAATGTGTTCACTTTTTTATTATTACTTAAATATACTGATAATATTTTAAATTGATCTCAAACAGTGATTTAAAAAATTTTATATAGTTACTTACACTTACAAAAATATTTTGGATCGACTTTTTTTGCAATATTCAAAACTATCTTCATGGTATTTTTTTGTTAATTAAAGAAAATATATAGCTCATTTTACAACAAAAAAAAACATGTAAACCAAAATTTCACACTTTAGAGAAAGTTAGTTTAAGTTCACCAAATTATCATAAAAATATCAAACTTTTTAATCATAATTTTTACAAAAAATTCTATTATGCAGTTTTATAGCCCATTCAATTTAATACAATTT